GAACCCAAAATCTCTGTAAATGTTCATTAAAACTAATAAAATTTAATAATAATTTTTTTAAAAAAAAGAACTCCCAGTTCTATACCAACAACTACATCACTATCATATCCTGAAAGATAATTTTAACAGTATCTATGGATTCTCAGCATGGTACTGCTGACTTCTCTAAAGAAAACAGCAAACAGCATCTTCTCCAGACCTTTCTTAAAATGCTAAGTTCACATCCTCCTAACTTGTTTTCAGGGAAGAAAACAAAGACTTGTTTTATTCTTAAAATGGTTTAGGGAAAAAAATAAAGCAATTTCATAAACACAGTGATTCAAAGCAAGAACTAAAAAAAAAAAAAAGGAAAAGGGTTAAAAACTAGGATCAGAAACATTCTCACCAGTCACAACGCTTTCTACACACAGACTTCTTTAAAATCTAATATGCAATTCCCTGTCTTTTAGGCAGAACCATTTGTCTGAATATAAAGAGGATAGCAACTTAAAATCACTCTCGGGTTTGGATTCCTTATTAAGTAAAATGTAATCTCAAAGGTTGATTCCAGTGTCAAAACAACGGTGTCTCCTAAAATAATAGGTAATGGCACAGAGTTTAGTCCAGTAGATTGCTTAAAGAAATAGCACGAGTTCAGTAAATCTACTCACCAGATGAACCTGGCAGACCCTGTTGCCAAGGGTCTTCCTTCAAAGCTTTCCTAGAGGTGGTCTTGCCCGAGTATCTTTTGTCCGTGTCCAATAGGGAGGTTGAAGCCAGTTTTCTAATGCTACCCACCGCCTGGAAATCACCTTGCCCATCTTCCCCTTCATCAAACCTGTCAATCACTTTGGCAGCAGTGGCTGTGGGGGAAGGTGAAAAGTGATCAGAATCTCCAGGTTACAAGGCACTTTGATGACAACCCTAGTCAATACTTTGCTTCATTTGACACTTGAATGGCCTCAACACAATCCTAACTTCCAAGCACAGGGAGCTCATTAATTCCCAAAATAAACTGTTGACTTTACTGCCATATCTGAACAAAAAGCCGACTCAATAGTTGTATTTCTATGCCTTCAATCATACAAAATTCGGCTAATTCCTCGCTGAACAGCTCCAGTTCCTTAATGTTCCTAAAACACGGTCCTAAAGCACTCACATATATTCTCTCCTTAGTCTCCCTTCCTCACACTTCCAACTAAAGCTGGGTTACCCTCTCAGCTGGACCCTGAACATGGGTTTACAAGCAGTGGTACGCTTCAGCCCTTTAGCAAGTATGCTGAGGCCTAAAGAGAGTAGCACCAAAGAATTCTAATTCTTTCTTCACATAATTTCTTAGGGACAGCTAGTGAGAAAAATGATGAAAATTCCTTCTCCTCATTTCTAATGCAACACCAGTAAGGGAATCCTGAAAAGACAACTTCCAAATTCCAACCAGCTACCAGACTCCAGCGCCCCCAAGAGCCGTCAACCCCAAAGTGGCTCCTTGGCCTGAGACCCCCGGATGCCCACTACAGCACCAAACAGATGTCAGGAAAGGGCCGAAACACCCTCCCGAGGCCGGGAGTAACCACCACGCGTGGCAGCTTCCTTCCGCACTAAGGGAGAAGGGGAGCCAGCTGGCACCAAGGCCAGGTCCCCACGATCCGAACGCGGACCTGGGGCTCGCACAGGACGGGCCCACCGCTCCGCACGTGGCCTGGCCCAGTCTCAGTCCTCACCCTCCTCCGGGTCCGCTTCGGGATCAGTCTCGCGCGGCCGCGGGTTCAACAACTGTTCTAGCTGCAGCGCCAAGGGCGGTGGCCCCGCCATCTTCACCAGTTCTCAATAAGGGTCGCGCACGAGAATCTGCAGTCCAGGCCCGGCCTGACGTTCTCTCCCCACCAGGTCTTCTCGCCCAGAGACCCCACGACACAGCCAGGGACCAAGTAGCTGCAGGCGAACAACTCCGGCCCGGCAACTTCCGGGAGCCGTGCGGGGGGGCGGGGCTTACGCGTCACTGGGAGCGTTGCTAGGAAGAAGGCGGAAGACTGAAAGGCTGGTGGGATGGGCGGGCTCGTGTGCGCATGCGCATTTGTCCAAGGGGTGTGTTGGGTGGTACGGGAGCGCGCAAGGGCACGTGGCCATCACCAGCTCAGAGTAGAAAGCGAGGGGCGCGCGGCCGACATCTCCTTAGTACAAAACTATGCGATCACATTGTGCGAGATTCACTTAAAAATAAAATATAAAAAAATAAAATAAGGTGTAATGTAGCTATGAATGGCCCATAATGGTTCATTTGGGAAGAAGGAGGGAGTCAGAGCTCAGGCTGCCAAAGCATGTCTGTTATTTGGCAGTTTGGAGGCTTCTGGGATTTAGGTATATGCCTCTTGGGGAATAGCTAATGTTTGAGAATCCTATGTCTTGGCCCCAGCAGTCAGGAAATCAAAAGACGAATTGCACTGGGAAAAACTGCTGTCAGAGATCTCTCCAAAGTACTGAGAATCAACAATGTCAGTCTCAAGTCCTCCTGATCCGGGCCATTCCAAGTCTTCGAAATTATTTTCTATGCATCAGAGAGATGGACAATGACTAAGGATGACAGAAGAAGAATTGATGCCTTTGAATTGGGGTGCTGGAGAAGAGTCTTGAATATACCATGGACTTCCAAGGAGGGAAAAAATAGGTCTTGGAGAGGGTGAAAGTGAAACCAAGGTTCTCCTTGGAAGCTAGGATTTTGAAGTTCCATCTCACATTCTTTGGGCACGTGGCGAGGTGGAACTGACCGGTCCTTGGAGAAGGACATCATGCTTGGAAGGGTGACGGGACAACGCAAGAGAGGAAGACCCTAGATGAGATGGATTGATATAGTAACTGGGGCACTGGGGATAGGTGTGTCGAAGTTGGTGAGACTGGCTCAGGACATGGAAGGGGTTCAGAGCTGTTGTAGATAGGGTCGCTATGAGTTGCAGGCGATTCAACAGCACATAGCAACAACAATAATATGTCAGACCTGAATATTTTGATTGTGTGAAAGACTACTGGAACCTTTGATTAAGAATTACAAAGACTTTATATGGGGATCTCTGGTGGCCTGGTGATAAGGAGCCGTTCTAATCCACCAGCTGCTTGGTGGAAGAAAGATGAGCAATATACTGTCTCTGAAAACCTACTAGAAGGTCAGTTATGAGTAGGCTCCAAGTCCACAGCAATGACCAAAACCACAGGACTTTATATTAACTAAAGTAGAGGGTCAGTGGGAAGTAGGAAGACCCTCAGGAGCTGGGTTGACATAGTTGTTGCAATAGGATGGCACAGGATGTAGTGATTTTTTTTTCCCTGTTATACGTAGAGTGGTTATGAGTTGAAACCAACTCGTTGAACCCACTAATAACAACAACATGGCTGTGCATATTTTTTAAAATGTTTCTGTAGCATCTCTGTAACTATAGAGTTTTCTGAGCAGTAGGAAGGAAAGGGAGTGAGGATTATTACTTTTAACACATACCACTGAGTACTGATGTCTTTGTTGCATAAAATGAGATGTTCAGACACCTGAAACTAGTATACAAAGGCAGGAAAACTCGGGTCTGCCATTAGAGGGGCACATGTAGACTGGAAATATAAAGACCTAATAGGATAAATTTAATTGCATCCAGGCACACATAAAGATAAAATCCCTTTCCATTTGCTCTCCTACATCAAACATTCCCTGACTGCCCACTATGTGGCAGGCACTGCTAGGTGAGATACAAAGATGAGCAGGTTAGATTTGTGCTGATGGTGAGCAGCCTTGAGGACAATCATGTAAAAAGAAACTGCAATCATGAATGACAAGAAGTGCGTGTAAGTGCTCTTTCCAGCCACTCTATGTTAGAGGTCACCTGTGAGCACCTAGAAACCCCTAACCAGATATAACCGCAAAAGGATCCAGAGATCCTAGTGGTGCACTGTGGCAGTGCCCCTTTTTTTGATTCGTCCCAAGCCAGTTAGATCCTACAGCTGAACAGCCTGGGGAATCATCAACTCTTCAGTGTCTCCTATGTAATTCAAGGGATATGAAGGCCCTTGTCTTCCTACGCCCTTAATGTCAAGAATAACTAGAGTCCAATTCCTTAGTGTGTTCTGTTCCATGTCCCCATCCTGAAGAATAAAGACTGGGACAGGGGCACCCAAGGCAGGGTACTTGGTCCAGGAAAACTTGCTTTTTAACAGTCACCAGAGAACTCAGGTGAGAATAGTCTTTCTTCATCTGTGGGTGTATGTGTGTTGTTTCTTTTAACTTCTCCCAGCTCCTGGAATTCTGGTACTTCCAGGTCCTCTAGAGCAGTAGGGTACTCACTAGGCTACAACAGCCAGCATCCCCCATGTGCTTCAAAGAGCAAACATGTTTCTCTCACCCTGTATTTAGGAAACTATCTCTTCCAAATTAATTGAGGACATTGATAAAACTAGAAATCTGGCGTTAGAGAAAAGAGGAGGGGGAGGAGAGGCAAGGGCAGAGGCCACCTCTGAGTTATCACGCAAACAAGTCACTGAACCTGAGCTGGGCGCATACCAGAAAGGAATGCAGCACAGCTCCTCACCTACTTTCCCTTCTCTGTCCTGGTCCCTGCTGACGCCTTTTTTTAGGAAGGAATCAAGATCATTCCACTCCTGTCTCTTGCAATCCAAAATATCTCCCCTCTTTTCCTACTTTATAGAAATAGTAGGAAGGAGACTCTAGGAGATTAAGGGGAGGAAAAAGGGATCTAAGAAGAATTTAAGAACTTAACATGCATCTGGAGGGCAGTTGAAGCACAGGGCAGGAACTAAATAATCTCCCGAATGCTTTTTCTAGGACCTTTCACCTATCAATGTTCTAGCTTCTTGAGATTCGGAGGAGGGATATGCATGGGCATGGGATTATGAGAGGGGGATTTCAGAAGACTGACTGCTCTTGCAAAAGATAGTTCCACCTCTGCCCCAGACAGGAGGCAGATGACATTAAAGGGGAATGCTTCTCCAAATAAGCAGCCAGAGAAGGCAGGAGGTCTATCTCCTGGCTCACAATTATTCTGCCTACTGCCCAAAGACTACTGTGACAGGAGGGTGTAAGAGTAGCAGAGGATGGGGGAGAGGTGATAGAACCCTTTATTTATTTAGTTTATCCCAATAAACTAACTGATCGCCTGACTAGGGGTTCCAGGAGTTTGAGGAGACCTGGTTTAGACCTGCTTCTCTTCTCAAAGCCATGTCTGTCCTGGCTCTTCACTCACACTCCAAACCAGCTTGGGTGGGTGAGCTGGGATCCCTTGCCCACGCAGATGGCGGCTCCCCGCCTCTGGGCCCCGGAGAGCAGGTGACAGGAGGCAGAAGAGAGGCGACTTTAAGATGGCTGCAAGGAGAAACCCAACTGCCAGGCTACAGAGGAGGCTGCCCTCCTGAGCAGGAGGGGACCACGGTCTAGTCCTCTTGCCTGTGGTGGGAACTCCCAACCCTAAATGGGGCGAGGGCAGTGCGGCCCTGGCCCTAGATGGACATGATGCGAAGGGACAGACTCTGCCATTCCCAGGCTTCCTCTGGCCTGAATTTGACTGCTGAGTGTGGCCACCTGTTTGGGTATTCGCCTGGGTTCAGGATACCGAAAGAAAGAGAATGGCTGCCATGGCCTTAGAGTTAAAGAGGAGAATGGAGTTCCCACTGTGGTCTCTCACTCCAAAACGTGCTTTTTACAAGCATCCGATGCCACAATAAAGCTGCTAAATAATTCAGCAGCCCTGATAGGAAAATGCAGCTTTCCCAATGAGCTTACTAGGTTCCGTTAAATGAATGTCTTGAAAAAGCGAGGAGGACTCTGGAATGATTAAGTTGGCTATGATTTCATGTATATAAATGCTAAAAGAAGGAAAAAAACAGCCTATCCAGTGATTGCAAATATAGCAAGTTAAAAAAAAAAAAAGAGCTACTCACAGAGCTAGGAATTTCAAGTCTTCCTCACATTTAATAAATTTCGATTTTTAAAAACATACTGCCCTTCCTGATAGATTCTCCCTTATTAGATAAACAGTCATATGGATGAAGGAAAATATTGCTTCTTTTAAAGTCTTTTCAGCAGGAAAGATAAACCTTGGTTCTTAACAAAATATGAAAACAGCACTAGAAATTACATACCATTTATTGTGAAAACTTTTGATTTTTTTAAAAGAAGAAAAATAGGTGATATGGATGAGAAATTCTGAAAACTAATAGTATCTGATATTAAAACACACAATAGATCCCTGCATGCCTATTTCACAGTAGATAAAATATTTAAATTCCCTCCATATCTAATGAAAGCTTGGCAGGGGTTGAACTACTTCTCAGAACCAATGGGTAACTCGAAGCTGAAATTTTATTTCTATATTGGTGATTTTTCCCTCTCATCTTCCAGAGAAGCTTAATATGTATCTCATGCCAGGCAAAATATTTTTCCTTCTAGGGAACTTCAAATGTAACAAATAGTATAAAACAATGATTTCCTATCAGCTCTGTGAAAGGGATTAAAGTATTTCCTCTTTAGCTGTACTGTACATTCATTTTACATTATCTTTCAAACCACCAAATTAGAAAGCAGGATTATCTGTGGGAAATGAATTGAAACTGAAAAGGATCACCTCTAACTATGTACTTGCAGGTTGACATTCACAAGCCCAGTTTTGCTTGGAAAGAGGAGCAGGGAGAAGAGAATTCACACAGGACCTTGTGCCTAATCACAAACTGGACCACTCCTTTTTTTAGCCCTGGATTTGATTTCTATTCGAATTCTGTATTAACTTATCAGCAAACATCTCTTCAACTGTATCAGTTAAATCCACTGAATGCAAATCTGGAGTTAATAACAGCAGGAAACCACAGAGTAAAGCTTGACTGGCGTAAGCAAGGGGGTTCAGACAGAGCCAAGGCAAAAAACCGATGCATCATCCCAATCCTGCCTTCCTCTTTCTTCTGGCTTCCAGTTACCATTAAGTATCTCCTCTAGTTGTTGAAAGAGGGGAAAAAAAAAGAAGAAGAAAAAAGAAAAAAAAAAACACCCAAAAAAACCACACTGGATTATCTAAACATCAGATTTTCTAGTTTTATTAAAAACTCACAAATTTATTCAACATGTTTTCTTTCATACAGTGAATGGTCTAATATGCACTGGAGGTCACACAAGCTTAGGTTTTATTAGAACAATAAAAGACATATGAGAAATTTAATATATAAAGAAAAAAGTAGCAGCTGTCGACTGCATATTTGACCATAAAATTTAAATATTTTGGACTTTTATTTTAAAGACACAAAAATAAAACCTGTGTGGGTCTCTATAAGTCATATTAACAATTCCATGAATGTTCAACAGGACTAAAAATTAGCAAAGATGGTTGTTTTGTTTTTAATCTTGTAACACTTTAAAAAACAACCCAACAAAACAACAAACCCAAACACTTTTTTAGGTTGCTGGTGCCAGGCACCTTTACAGCACTTGTGCTATATTTATTGTATTTGGCAACTGTCTGAATATTATGTTTTCTCTTTGCCTCCTGTAAACACCACCTTTTTACATACTAGCACAGTGAGCCGCAAGCCCGGGAAATCTGTCAGAACAACAGGGGGGAAAAAGAAAGAAAGAAAGAATTTTGGTTGATTGCTCAAAACGTTTTGTTCTCCAACAAGAGGTTTCAAAAACAGGATATCTTAGTAAAACACTGAACTCCTGAATTTAACATTATACGTAAACAGTTGACTGCTTTTAGTTCAATAGTCTTTTTTTTTTTTTTTTTACTTTTCTTGTGTGAAGGTAGAATACTTCTCATGTACGGCTAATATTCAAGTCATTTTTAGTCAGAGGTCTGGCTGGAAACCATTTCTAAGTGTGTCTGTGGTGGAACTGTGTGTGTGTGTGTGTGTGTGTGTGTGTGTGTAGTTTTGCCAAGGTAGAAGAGTTGATACTGAGGGCTTTCTTTACATTTAGAATTTTGCAATTTTGGCAAAAACAAAAAACCAAAAAACCCAGATAGACAAAATATAT